CAAACAAAAATATTTTAAAAAAAAGAGACTTGCAAAATGGCATTTTAACTATTACATTTTTGTCTTCACCACCAGAGGAAGAATACCCACAGCTGAAGGCAAATGTCTTGTTTTGGTGTAATGACTGGTGGCAATGAGAAGCCGTCCTCAGGTAGGATGTGATCAGCCTGGCTGTCTCTGAGGTCAGTAAGGGAGCAGAAAACATCACTTCCCTGAAGCAGCTGATGACAGCTAGCAGAGGTGGCTCTGGGGCTGTTCTTCGCTGAACTTCTGGAAAACTAGTGGTTGATGGACTTTGTACTGCAAATTCCGTGTTTCCCATGTCTCCCTGACCAGGCTTGGCTTAGTAAAGACATGCACACTGGAACAAGTCCCCTCTCAGATCTGCGTGCGCTGCATATTCAGCACTTGTTTAGTGAACAGAATTCCCCTGGCATCAGGAGAAATTTTGGCACAGAATGAGCCTGGAGCTTCATAAGCATCATAGGAGAAACACAGTAGGTAACCAAGGTGAGAAATCCAGTCCTCACATCTCTCTCATCCATCCGGTGAAAGAATTCATGCTAAACTAGGTTAAAAAATATCTTGTAAAATATTAACTAGTGGTGGTGCAGCTGCTCCTCCTAATAGCTTTCGAACGTGTCTGCCAAATTCAACCTGGACAGAGAGATCCTGTTTTAGTGATGAATTCATTGCAAAGAGGCAGCATGCAGAAGAGGTTGTTGGCACTCTCACTACCACTGAAGGGCTCCAGCTCTAGCCCAGATGCTGTTAAAAACTAGACAATCCACATAAACAAAATAGTCTGTGAATACTCAAAATGTGTGTAAGATTCACCCACAGCTCAGGAAAAACATGTGAGTTCTCTGATGTCTAATACAAAATTAACTCATCCTGCAGCCTTGGTTTCACTGAAGTGAGACTCACAGGGCACCCGCCCAAGGACACCAGGCTGCACAGTTCTGGGGCCACTGAAATCACTTGTCCTATTCTGCCATAGCCAACAGTGTGACAGACTCATCTCTTCCGCTGCTGCCTGCTTGATCACATTGTCTCACTGTGCAACTAGTAGATAACGATGAGAGTTTTACCAGAAAATGAATTCCAGGACTTGGTCCTGTAATTCTTTTTAGAACATTTAAATGATATTGGGGTCTTTCTCCCTAATATTTCAATATCTCAACTTCAGAAACCCTGTAAACATTCAGAGTGGTTTCTAGCAGGTCAAATTCTAGCAGTTGTTCTAGTTGCTGGGCAGTAGTAAGCAGTGCAGTGGTTTTTAAGTGGGGTTAGAGGTGTGTCCACATGTCAGTCTTTGGTTTAAATCTGAATGTTCAGTGGATCCAGATTTTGGGTTGTCCTGTTAGATCTATGGGATCCAATGTGAAACCTGGAGCTAGACTCCAAGTATTTAGGAACTGAAACCTGGGAATTTGATGCTAGCTGGACCTAAGATGTGTTATCGATCACAGAAGTTTGCTGATAATTGTCCTTCTGTTGCTATTGCTTTTAAAGTGCAGGTATTTCAAGGTCTAGTGGTCACTCTGCAGCATCCACGCAAATGGCCTAGAAGAAATGTCTTTATTATAACCTTATGATTATAATACAGCAATAACCTAAAATGTGTTTTCTAATCCCAGGAGAAGAGCAACCTAAGTTATCTTTCTGCAGGACCTAACCAAACGTCATCAGCTGCTCCTCTGCTCTAAATAAGCCATGATCTACTTCTGAGCTGTGAGGTAACATGTTGCTTGCTTTGATTTTTAGTTCTCCCTTGCCTGCAGCTCAGTATCAAAACCACCAAATAAGCCTCATCTAAAAGGGTGATACTTTTTACGTGTCCCAGGGTTTAATTTCTGTTCCCACAGAAATCCAGCTGTAAAACTTCTTCTCAAATAAACAGAAGCATAAGCAGACCCAAGAAATCCCTCTCACGCCTCCACCCAACTTGCTGACTTAATTTTCCACACTGCAATTTTAAACAACTTATAAACTCTATTGACTTTCACAGACTTTGGACTAGAAACACTACAGAAATAAAAAATATCCATACACGGATTAATGCCTTTTGAAAAAAAAATATTTTTTCTTAGATTGCACATTCAAAACTTGAGCTGCACACTGCACGGTATCGTAACAGTAGTTTGCCAATCCAATTACCACCATGTAGGTGTGCTTTGATTAGTTTGGCTGTAGCCCCAGGGTGTCCAGCTCAGTCAGCAGCAGGAGGTGGACCCCAGGTGTAATTACAGTCAGTGGCCAAGACACATCTCCTGGGCTGTAAAACGTTCAAAGTGTACAATGGAAATGTCCCATCGGAGGGAGGTTTGGACAAAGCCTTCAGGTAGATTGCAGCAGACCTGTAGGAAAAAACTGCTGTTCCAGCTACAGACTGTGTATGCTCATTTGCCCACCATGTTCTTCCTTCTTTCCGCTGTTTTCCAGCTCTCTCCATTTGTCCTCTGCTAAATGGATCAAGCAGTGAATTTCAACCACAGTGCGATGCCACGGAGAGCAAGAGCCCTCACATCCATGCTGGCAGGCTTCCTCTGCAGCCCCAAAGGCTACAAACAAGATGAAACGTTGACTATGCTGGAGTCACTGCAGGTTTTATCCCAACTCTAGTGCTGCCAGGGAGCAAGGGAAGTTTTGTGCAGGCTCGATTCGGGCCACTGGGCATCTCTTTTCTAGGTCTTTGCAGCTACAAGGGCACACATGGACCACTGCAGTACGAACAATGCGTGAAGAGGACTATTTTTTATCTAGGACTTGTCTGGTGTTACAGCAGGATTGGTTTCACTCTTCAAACCGATTGCTGTTTTGAGGATGAGGGGACAGAATCTTAGCTGAAAACAGTAACACAGCTGTCCTTCCCACAGCTACCAATATTTTGAGATTTTGGTGTTAATTAGTGCTTTTCACCAACTGATGTTTCACTTTAATAACCACTCAAGTAAACAAACAAACAAATAAATAAATAAAATAGTACTTTGTGCTTTGTTAGCATCATTTGACCAAAGTCTATTGTATGAGTCCCAGCAATCCCAAGAGCCTGACTCCGCTTCCATTTATATCAATAGGAGCAAGCCCAGCCCCTGAGGGCCTGCATGGTGTTACGCGGTGAGCCAATGACTGACAGAGCAAACATCGCTCAGGTGCCCTAATTCCTACGTTCACGCTGCCTGCCCTCAACAGCACCAATTGTACCATGATTCAAAGAAGACCAAGTTCCATCAAAATCAAAGAAAATCCCTGCTTGTTTCATTTTCAACAGGTTGTATAATGTCTCCAGCCTTGCAGGGCACCAGGGTGTGCTTGGTCTACTGTTGTTGCTGCTGTTTATTTTAAACACCTTCCTTAAAGTCTTCTAAGAGGTTTTTGACCTGCTGTCACCTCCTGGGAAATTCTTGTAAGCAATCTATGCATGCAGGACTGCATGTCTGTGCCATATGTCAACCCTTCTTCTGGTTTTCTCTTCTACTGTGCTGTATGTCAGAGACATCTGCAAGGAAACAAGATCCTGGCTGTTCTTGCTGCTTCTCCCCCATGCTCCAGGTCTGATGCCATCACCACAGGAACCCAGCATGGCATCATGGATGGTGGAACAGAGAGCTGGTGCTGCCCCGAGCCAAAAAAAAAAACAGCACAAAGTGCCTGGTTTGGATGTGTGCAACTCAGCACACAGTAAATGTGGAAACCTGAAGCAGAACACTGTTTTACTTGAATGCAGTGCCTGGGGTGTAGGTAGGCTTTTCACATTTCGAGCCATTAATAGCAGAAGGACTCAGTTCCCTCTAAACAGTGTTGAGTTATAAAAAACCTGTGATCCTCGCCTAAGAGAATCTGTAATGTACCTTATTTTGTGCATCTGCTCTTTCTTGTGCCCTATATAAGAATTGGACTGTTAGCACCACGGACAGATACATGCTGCCCTGCTCAGTAGATGATGGTAAGAGCTGGGTGAACATCTTATTGTACGCAGTTCACAGAACCATTAGATTGGAAGGTTGCTGAGGGTCTCCTCGAGTTTTGAGAATTCCCAAGGGTTGTAATTTCTCTATGCAATCTATTTGCACAATTCCATTCACAAATGATGCATGTTTGCCACAAAGGCCAGCTTCCACAGGTTCATTCATTTTTATATCTTAATGAACAAGTGGGTTGCATGGGTGCCCGTCAGTTTGTGGACTGCCCACAAACTTCTCTCCTCCTCCTCCCCCAAAAGAAAAGAAGAAATTGTACAGATGCTTGTAAGAGAGACCTTAAAAGGAGAAGGGAGAGGCGAGGATACCTGGGAGGGGCAACAGTTACAAACAGCAGAAGTGAGATTGTGTTTGTGAGCACTTCTAACAGCTTCTGCCCAGCTCCAATCATAACATCTATTCACACAGTGTTACAAAGTCTTGGTCTGTGCTTTCTCTTGCTCGGTACCAGCAGCGGGCGAGGGGCACCCAGGGGCATATGGCATTCTGTACTCCAGCCCTCCTCGGCGTGGGAGTGCAGCGGCTTTGAAAATGCAGTCCAGTAACTTAAACCGGGCTGCCTGTCACTCAAGCCAGAATCAGCTGGGGTGGTTTTGGTTGGTAGTCAGTACACTCTAGTAGTCAGTAGTCTCTGTTGTCTGCATTTCCAACCAAAAAGAGTGCAGCTGTAGTCAGCTCCAGTGTAGACAATCAATCGGTAACTCACAGGCTTCAAGCAGACGACTTCCGCAGCCCTCTTTGAGAAAATGCGTGTGCTTGTGGGATGGAGGACACAAAAACTCAGTTCCCCTCTGTAAAGATGATCGAGGTCAGTCCCTAAAACACGCCCAGAACAAAACTGTATTTTTAAAAGTATGTGAAATAGCTGCCACGTTTTTGTGCGGTACCCTGCTCCTCAAAGTAAGAAATTAGGGTGGTTGTTGGTTGTTGTTTTTTAAATATGAATCTGGAGGAGCTTTCTGACGCATTATGATGGACAACCAGTGATGCACTCCCACTCATCCATGACAAGATCTTTCATTTCTTATTCAGGTGGGCATGCAGTTCTGCTTCGAAGGCCATCTTGTCAAAGGTGCGCATGTTCGTCTCCTGCCGTACCTTTTCCCGGACGTGGAAGGACGCCCGAGCAACAGACCTGGCATTTTCTAAGACAGTCTTCTTCTCCTTGAAGATCTGCTCACTCCTCTCCAGCTTCCTCTCTATAGAGAGGAGGATCTCCCTGCGCCGTAAGTCCTCGTACTGTTCCACCTTTTGCTTGTTCATCTTCTGTACTTTCTCCTTCTCCAGACGGCTCAAGACCACCTTGCGGGCTTTTTCTTGGACCACCTCTTCAGCCACCTGGGCAGCATGTTGGAGCTTTCTCTCTGTCTCTCTAGCTAGGGCCTCCAAGTGCTCCTTTTGCTCTCTTTCCTTCTTCTCTGCAGCCAGTTTGGCTCTCTGGATCTGCATGTCCTCCCGCCTGGCCTTCTCCCTCAGCTCCTGGTTCCTCTTCTCCACTAGCTGCTCATAGTTCTCCTGAGCCTTGGTCAAACTCATCTCCAGGGAGGCCTTCAGCATTTCCTTCTCTTCTGCCTCTTGCTTAGCTAGTTCCTTCAGCAAGGCCTCGTGCTTCAGCTTCTCTGCTTGGTTGAGCAGTTTCTTCTCCTTCTGCAACTGCACCTCCTTCTTTAGCCTCTTCTGCGCGGCCGTGGACAGCTTCTCTTGCAGGAGCTGCTCCTCTCGTTCTCGGTGCTCCTTCTTGCCCTCCTCCTTCGCCTTCAGGTTGTGCTCTTGATGGAGCTTCTTCTGCTTGTCCTCCTGGACGGCCCT